CCCCCCCCCTTACCCGCCGTCTAGCGGGGTTGAATGTCAAACCCATGTGTGACATTCAATTGCTGCAACCTAGACATACAGTCCAACCACAATTTATTTTTAAAGGGGATTGTAAAAGATGAATGGATCGCCAATCAATTCACAAAGTCCCTTGACAGCAAGGAGGCTCTCAGTGCTCTGCTTTTTTTTTTTTAGCAATGGTTGTATGTTTCGTAAGCCCGGCTCAATATTTAAAGCGCATTCTAGGCAAACAGCTAAACACACAGATGCAATACATATATGGGAGCTGTTTTACCTGCCAAAGGATTTGTATTTATGTCCCACCAGTCCTGAGATAGACACAACTCTACCACACTGCACAGCCGGTTCAGACATGGCAGGAGACCAGATTTTCCTCTGCTGCAGTTAGGTTACGCTTACAGGTCTTGTTCCTCCCCCAGCCCATGATTGGACAGGCAGCAGAATGATGAGCTCATCTCTCCGTCACCCTGCTTCCTCTTTCTATCAGCATGCTCCTTGAACTGCAGCGCCTAATGCTTCTTCCCTAGGTTCTTCTGTACCAGGGATTGCAAGAGGCTGATACCAAGTCAAATTCAGGTACATACACAAAATGCCCTAAATGTCCGTAGGTTTTTGAATCAACCACTGACATTTGATGTACTTTGAGGAAACTACTATTGTATCTGCCAGGTGGTATCTGCCAGCCAAAGTTTTTCTCTATATATTGAAAAGTCACTAGTATGAACCTTTCTTATTGGCATCAGACAGGTGGGTAAGGCTGAGCTATGTTGCAGCTGAGGTCAATGGTGCAAGATTCCTTAGTTCATTCCAATGACCAATCCTTTTTTACTAACTCCAGAGTCAAATTTTTCTGTTCTTTTTGGGATTTCGCTGGCCTGTAACCAAACAGATCCATGGCCGCTTTGCACTTTTCTTGAATCTGATTGACAAAGCTGAACCCCAGAGCCGTTCTCCATCTTTGGACCGTCTTTGAGGAGTCTCTTGAGAAAGTCATGAACCCTTTATAATCCGCTACCTCCTTATGGGTGATATTGTAAATCCATTGCTCCAGATCTTTGGTAGGCTGGAGGCCAGCAAAATTGTAAATTTTTTTAACGTTTTTAAGAGGTTCATTAGCAAGATCCTCATGCCGAATTGCCAAGTATCGCCCTTTCAACACCTCAGCTGCTTTGGGCACACTGTTGATGTCAACCTGTGATCTGCAAATCTTCTCCATAACTCTGCTTATGGTGATATTTGTATTTTCTTCATTTTTAAGTACAATCCTGTCCTCAATCTGGAGAGGAAAGTATGCCTTTGACAAGGCAATAGCTCGAGGGTCCCTCACCAGGTGCAGAATACGCAGATCAAGATTAGGGTCTCGGAAAAGGGGAAGCAGGACAGAAAGATCTAGAATCCGGACTGTTTTCATCACCACGTGGCTGTATGCCTTGCACGTTTCTGCCATTTTATCCAGCAAAGTATTTTTGCAACGGTGGTAACAACTGAGGCGATCATAGCCTTCTGAAGGCAAAAAGGCTGAACAAGCTGGTGGGGTGCAGAGTGCTCGACTTTCTGCAAAGAAACCCATTTCAGATATGTATTTTCCACCCTTAGGAAGATACTGCTGAAGAGGGGACACATCACAGGTGAAAAGCGATCGTAGAAGATCTCTTAAGGGATAATGTAGCAGCTCCAAACTCTCACCGCGAAGCTTCATCCAGACGGAGTGCCCAGGCTCAAAGAGGTAGAAGACATCCCCGTGATGGTTGAAGATCTGTCCAAGGAATGAAGACCCCGATCTCCAGGATGACACAACAAGGAGATGGACGGGTTTCTTTTTGGGAGCAGAGTAGGGTGAGCGAGTCAACGAGGGAGTTGTACTGGGAAGAAATTGGAATAGAGAGAAGAGAAAGATAGATATAGAGAGTAGGATGAAATATTTAGAACGTGGTAACATCATCAGAAGCCAAGTATGAACCGGAATGGCATAGAAAGACCATAAAATCTAAAAACCAATGAGAGATGAGAAACTGGAGCTGTAAAGAGAATAGAAAACAATAAAGATTAGCAAATGGACATTACAGAAGAATTCTGTACCAATTAAAGTGCAAATCTAGGACTATTTTCTTTTAGTTTTGGATTAAGTGGTAAAAAATCAGAACCTCTGTTGGGTTTTTGGTGCTATGAGGGGCTTTGCTGGAAAGATTTGCCCTCATTTACTGGCGCGGAGACAACAGTTTCACCAGATGGAAACAATTTGCAACTGGGACAGAGGCAGTAATAAAAAGCTGATGAATGTCAATGCACTGCGCTAAACCTTAAAAACTTCAAACCTCAAATATATAAAGGGTCGATGTCAGTGTGCATATAAAAAAATATATATTCATATAAATATAATAACTTGTGTGCCGACAAGCATCCAACTATGCAATACTCATATAGTGCAATAAAGTGCAAATAAAGTCCACAATATAAAGTATTTATAACGTGTTAAAATGTCTCAAAGCCCAATATCTAGTGTGGAGACTCTCCTCCTCCTCCCAATAAGTTATTCATCAAAGTGCATACAGTGTATAGAGATATAAGATAGGGCTTTAATCTTCCACCAAATCTTTATGGAATGCAAAAGGTTTCTGCAATCCACCGCGATCCAAACAAAGCCTTTTGAAACCGCATTCACCAGAACTATAGGGCTACCCGAAATAGAATAAGCCATAAACGCTTCATCACTGATCCTTCTCCTCTCAGTAAGGCCTCATTCACACTAAGCGACATACCTTTTGCAGCGGATCCGCACGGCCGTGAGAGCGTGACTTTTCGGGCGACGTTCCAGCGACGGTAGCGCGACCTTCACCGTCGGGCTCCATTAAAAAGTAGAAAAATTGCGCAAAATCCGCCGAAAAAAGGGTCCTGCTGGAGCGACAGGCAACATGGAGCTAAGACAGCTCCATTGAATAGCATTGGCCGGCGATATCGCTCGGCAAAAATGCGCGATATCACGGCGGAAATCGCTATCCCGGCCGCGCGGATCCGCTGCAAAAGGTATGTAGCTTAGTGTGAATGGGGCCTTAGATCTCCATGGGGTGAGATGATGCTCACTCCTCTCAACTGTCTCCTTTCTTTCAGCCTCTATATGTGGTAGTTCCAATCTCAAAAAGAAATGAAAACCCCCCTCCCTAGTATAGATGTAAGTAGATGGAGAGACCTTCCGCACTCCTCACAGCAGTCCCGGCCAGATAAGAGGAAAGTGGTGCTCGCAGTGATGAATTACCACGGATGGCGCTGTGCAAACACAGGAAAGTCAGGAAATCACCAGCACTCAGTAGTAAAGATAAATATGTCCCTTTTATTGGACAGAAAGCATCACAGACATCCAAATAAACTGACGTTTCGGGGCCGCGCAGGGTCCCTTCCTCAAGGCAGAAAGATGTGACCTCTTTCTGCCTTGAGGAAGGGACCCTGCGCGGCCCCGAAACGTCGGTTTATTTGGATGTCTGTGACGCTTTCTGTTCAATAAAAGGGACATATTTATCTTTACTACTGAGTGCTGGTGATTTCCTGACTTTCCCCTCCCTAGTATTTCGCAATTTAATATTTATTATAGAATAAAAACACTTCTATAAAAGATAGTTCAGTAGGGTAAGGGATCCTCCGTTCGTGCGAGTCACAGCAAGTCGGTATCAGGAAGCGTATGTATGCTCAGCCCACCCTGTGCGCTTCGTCACCGAGGACTTTTTTCCAGGGGAGAGCGTGAATATTGAATTGCGAAATACTACACCATGAAAGGGATTTTAATTTCTGTTTGAGCTTGGAACTATAAGATGTGGAGGCTGAAAGAGAGGAGAAAGTTGAGAGGAGTGAGCGTCAGTGATAAAGCATTTACGGCTTATTCTATTTCGGGTAGCCCTATAGTTCTGGTGAATGCGGTTTCAAAAGGCTTTGTTTGGATCGCGGTGGATTGCAGAAACCTTTTGCATTCCATAAAGATTTGGTGGAAGATTAAAGCCCTATCTTATATCTCTATACACTGTATGCACTTTGATGAATAACTTATTGGGAGGAGGAGAGTCTCCACACTAGATATTGGGCTTGAGACATTTTAACACATTATAAATACTTTATATTGGGGACTTTATTTGCACTTTATTGCGCTGTATGAGTATTGCATAGTTGGATGCTTGTCGGCACACGAGTTATTATATGTATATAAATCAATTGCCCCCCTCATGTCCCTTATCCTAGTGAAATCTTCCTTGGAAATATTGTTATATATGCAATGCATTTGTTCTACAATCAACACTTGATACATTTCTACCCTATGTCTGCTCATTCTCCTTCTTCTTATCCCATGTCCTCTTCTCCCCACCCCTCTTCTCTATGCTTTCATTGAATATAGTGGGGGTTTTTACGATAATTTCTATGACGTTTTCGATTTATACATAAGTTCATTGTATTAGGCGGCTACGGATGCATGTCACCAGAGCAGGATCACTGGTCACTGAGACAGAAAGTGATGTGAAATCCAAACTTTTAGAGTTGCCCTTAAAATGAGAGATCAGGGGAAATCTTTCAAAGGGGACAAATATTCCATTGACAGCTGTCTACGAGGGGAATTTGCCTCACTTTGTAGAGATCTCCTTGCTTTCTGTTGGGGCAAGAAGAGAAGGGAAATATCCCCAATGAGGCATAGACAGCAAAAGATAATCTGATGGGGTTTGAACCCCTTTCCTACTCTATCCAAAATGTTTAAAAAAATGTGGGCTTTACATACACTTTAAATGTATAGGACTGAAAGGATGGGGGGATTAATTGAAGTAAAGCGTTCTTCCTACCTGTTGCCCGTCATGCCCAGCACTGAACTAAGTCCTGGGCTGTTCTGAGGGTGGAGAAACCTTTAACCAGCATGATTCATCCAGCACAGAGATCCATAAAACACCCATACAAATAGTCCGGTCATTGTGCTCAGTGACTGGGAAAGGTATTTTATAGTGTTTTTGTAAACACCGTTGACATGGAAAGTTGGTTTCATTCAATGAGCGTCTACATCCTATAAAGTGACGTGTTATTTGTTGAAGATGCTCTGATAGCACAATTGCCTTCCACACTTTCGTCACAAGGTCATTACGAAAACTCCCTGACGCCTCAGAAGCCTTGCTGCACATTTACAATTTATGACTGAGCTTTGACCAATAATTAAACACAGAAGAAACTTGAGCTGGAAAGAGAGAAAATGTAATACAATATTCCTGTCCTATTAGAGTAGCAATTCTTTATATGCCCCTCCACGCCCAACACCAACCCCCTAGATTTGTGTACAGACGTTCCTATGAAAAATCTCATCAGAAAATTCTATGATGCCATCGAAGACTTAATGAACGTCATGCGAAATTTCATTTGGTTTTAATGTTTGATTTTATAGGACTCATTCACACTAGAATCGGCCGGAACGTACAGCTCCGTGCTGCGTGCACGGCCGTATCGGGGAGCTCCCGGGAAGGACATGTGCTGCGTGTGATTAGTACGCAGCCCCTGTCCTTCTCTATGGGAGTACGCGGCCGTACGCCACCCTACGCTTACCCCAAGTGCAGGTCCGTAAGGGTGCGGGTGTCCCGGCTCGGACGCAGACAGGATCCATCCATACCCTCATTTCACCACTCACCCCTGCCCCTTCCTTCTCACCTCTGTCTACCCCTCACCCTTGGCCCACTTCACCCCTCTCCCTATGCTCACCTTCTTCCAATGCTCACCTCTGCACCCCTCTTCCTAACCTCACCTCTGCCTCCCTGCACCTATCTTCCAGCACTCACCTCTGCCCCCAACACCCCTCCTCAAACACTCATCTTTGTGCCCCTCTTTCAATACTCACCTTTGAATCGCCTTACAACACTCCCCTCTGCATTTCCTTTAAACGCTCACCTCTGCAGCCCTGTATCCACATTCACCTTTGCACCCCTTTTGTACAATCAACTCTGCACCCCTCTTTCAAAACTCACCTCTGCACTCCTCTATCAAAATTCCCCCCGGAACCCCTTTTCCAATGCTTGTCTCTGCACCCAGGGCCGGATTTACTCCCCTGCCGCCCCAGGGCCAGGTTCCACAATACGCCCCCCCCCGCGCCGCCAACCCCCCACGCCCCTCTGCGCTCTGCCGCCCCGAGGCCGGGCCTCGGTGGCCTTGTGGGAAATCCGGGCCTGTCTGCACCCCACTTCCAATGCTTTCTTTTGCACTCTTATTACAACACTTACCTCTGCCCCCTTCTTCCAATACTCTCCTCTGCACCCTTCTTCCAATACTCTCCTCTGCACCCTTCTTCCAATACTCTCCTCTGCACCCTTCTTCCAATACTCTCCTCTGCACCTCTTGACAACATGCATCCGTGTACCCATCTTAGTTTCAGTATTCACGCTTTCAACGCTCACCTCTGCACCTCCTTTCAACACTCGCCCTTTACCCCTCTTCCAACACTCACCTCTGGCACCCCTCTTCCAACGCTTGCCTCTTTTCCATACAGTATAAGCGGCCAAGCCAGGAGACTTTGCAATGGTGGAGCTTAAAGCGTCATGAAATATTGAAGGTGTGGGTGGAGGAGGTCAATGGATAACTGTATATACTCACACACACGCACAGTGTAATAACCTTACAGTTATCCTTTAAAAAGTGATGGTGAAGATCACTGATATCCAAGGGGAGAGCAGCACGTGGAAGCAGTTGAGAACTAGCAAATATGCTGCAGTAAAGCTACAAAAACCAGGCACAGACTCAAACATCAAAAGCTGATATGATCAATATGCTCCTGTGTTTATCTGTGATATAGTGCAGGAGGTATATTGATCATATCATACCAGTATATTGATCATATCATAATGACATCATGAAGTCGGAGTTCAGTGGGATGGTGGGATAGTAGTGAAGGACATCAGGAGTAAGCTTTGTTTACAACTAGGGTTGCCACCTGTACGGGATTCACCCGGACAGTCCG